TGGAACCCAGCATGCTTGAGTTCGATGGAACCCAGGGGCAAAATAAAAAGAAATTCTGTTTTCTTTGTTTGGGTTTTGTTGTTTGATGATATGAGAAATTGATTGATGAAGATGAAGAAGGCAAGGCAGCCATTGTGTTTTTGTAGGTGGATGAAGATGAAGAAGGCATAGGTGCTGGGTTCACTTTCGAACCCAGCAACTGATCGAACTTAGCATCAAACCCAGCATCGAACCCAACAAGCATTGGGTTTCATTTCAAACCCAACAACCATTGGGTCAATGGATCTGTTGAGTTCCATTTGTTTATCGATCTATTGTCTATTGGGTTCTATTTCAAACTCAACAATCGTTGGATCTGTTGAGTTCGATCTATTTATGGATTTGTTATCTATTGTGTTATCCTCAGATTCTTGCAGGTGCTAGATTCGATTTCGAACCCAGTAGGCGATCAAACCCAGCAAGCGATCAAACCTAGCAAGCGTTGGGTTTTGTTTCCAATTCAGCTGTAGTTGGATCAAAAGATCTATTGATTTCGATCTGTTGATTTGTTGTGTTATTCTCGGATTTAATATTAGGAGATGTTAGGGTTTGCAGAAGGTGAAAGGAAAGGGAGAGGAAGAAGAAAGGGAAAAAAGAAAAACAAAGAAAGAAAAAAAAAAGGAAAAAGAAAATTTTTAAGGTATTTTCTTGCCATTTTATTTTTTTGCCACGCTATACATCCTAGATGTCAAAATGCTTTAACATGTCATCCTTTTCTCATCAAGTAATGAGACACATAGGTAGATATTTAATGGAAGGACCAAATTTGAGTTAAAATGGTAAACAATAAGGACCAAATCAGGGATTTTTTTAGTTTAGGGACCAAATCAGGGGTCTGTACAATAGCTCAGGGACCAAAATGAGGTTTTAACCAAAAGTTAAAGGATGAAAATTATGTAAACATTAAAGTTGAGGACTAAAAATGAAATTTACTTTTTTTTTTTTTAAATTTGAATTGAGTTGTATGAACCAATTTTCATGTACAAACCGGAACATCAAAATATTGGTCAACACACCAGAATATCGATCGGTACGCCAAAATATCGGCCAATACGTCAAAATTTGACCAAAACGGTCGAAATTTGATCAAAACGAAATTAAACCACATATCGTTTCAATTTAATGTAAAAATCGATACGTACCAACTATATTAGTTGATACAGTATGGTACCAACTCCCTTGCCTAAAATTACAACAAAGTGTAAATCTTGAACCTAATGAGTTGTCCCTAAAATAAGGTATAAATTTCCACAAGATCAATATATCACAAGTTGTCCTGACTCTTCTCTTGATAATAACAATTGAGTTTGCTTCTTACCCTACTTCCGTGATGACAAGAAATTTCTTTATATCACAAGTTGTCCTGACTCTTCTCTTGATAATAACAATTGAGTTTGCTTCTTACCCTACTTCCGTGATGACAAGAAATTTCTTTTGGATAGTTTTTCATGTGGGTGGTTCACTTCTTTTTACACATAAGGTTGAGTTTCATGTACGAACCCTTGTTCAGCGTGAGGGAAATGGAAAACCCTCCTCTCCCCTTTCATTCTTTTGGTTTTGTATATTTTCTCTTTTCTTTCAAATCTAATAAACTATAAACAAATCTTTTTATATTCAATATTAAGAAATTTAGATTTTTTCAATAAAATAAAAATATAATGCTTCATTAAAAGAATTTTATATTTATCTCAAATTAATCACTATTTATATTTAAGTAAGCTACTCTATTATAATTATTTAGTTAACCAACGACCTGTTGTTCTGAGTGGAAAAAACTCAATACCCCTTAAGTAAGGTTTCGAGTTTGAGTCTTGTGAATGAAGAAAAAGATGATGGAAGAGCTTCCCTCCTAATGGGGTTCGACGCGACTCGATTTTGGATTAGTCGGAACCTAATGTAATTACCAGATATCAAGAGATTAATACAAAAAATATATATATTTAGTTAAAACAAAAATAAAAATAAAATATAAATAAATGTATTAAATGTAGGGACACGGCTTGATTTTGATTAGAATCAAATTATTGATTAACCAAATTTTGGTAATTAAATTTTAAAAACCATTAACCAAATTGAAAGGTTTAAGCTTATCGATTTTGGTTAATTTTTTGAGAAAAACCAATATTATCAGTTTCACTTTAAAGTGAAAAATTATTTCTATAATTTTTTTAATAATTTTTTAATTTGTTAATTATTATTTTACTAATTTCAACCATTAAAAACTAAAAATTATCTAAGTAAATAAGTAATTTGGTAAAAAGTTGCGAGAAAATATTTAAAAAATCTAAAAACCATTAAAAAAATTTTATGAAATGTTTTTGGGCCGGCTTTTTCAATCTTAATTGCCCTAGTCATTGGGTTTTTGGTATTTAGACCTAGCAATCAAAACTTGAATAGTCTGAGATCAATTAATTTGATTTGGATTTTAGTTAAAAAACATAAAACTAACCTATTGATTACGATTTTGGTCTATTTTAGATTTTTTATTTCATTGTAGATTTTTTTGCCCACACTTAATCCAAATTGGACAACTAATTTTGAATTCTCTAAATTAAAAAGTAGGACAATAAAGTTGAATGGATGTAGTATGATATATTTTTTTTTCCTTTGTTCAACTTTAATTGTGTAACTTTGACTTTTTAGATATTAATTGTTGGGGTAGGGAATTGATGACTCAATAATGATGATGATGTGGAAGCTAACTAGGATACCTCTCTATGGGACATGAGGAGGGTACTTTTGACTTGACTTGCACCCACTTTATGTGTGAGAGGCTATATGCCATGAGCAGGGTACTTTTGACTTGACTTGCACCCACTTTATGTGTGAGAGGCTATATGCCATGAGCCATCTCCCTCTGTCCAATGAAGATGGTCTACTCTGAGCTTTCTAGCAAAGTATGAAAGTATAGCTTCCCCAGCGCAACCAGGAGAGCTGGACAGCAATGATAGTGTTTCAAGAGCCAAGAACGATTACATAACTACCAAAAATAATGAAAAGAAGATGTGGATTATGGTAGGAGCAGCATAGATAGATAATACAAAAAGGGATTTTAACAACTTGAGAAACATATTTATATAAAGTACATTGTAGAATAATAATAAACACAATAAATGTGCCCTCTGCTATCCTTGATAAATACTCCCACTCTAAAATGAGCAATCCTCATGTTGTGGTTAAAAACACAATAATTTTCTTCAAGCTTCCACAAAGCAAAGAGAAATAAATTTGAAAGTAGTGATGAGATAAGGAAGGATGATTGTTGTGGGGGCTTTTGAATGGGGACTTGATCCCATGTCATAATGCCAACTCTGTTGGTTGATCCTCTAATGCTCAAGAAAGACAACCCAGAATCTGAAATTGTAGCATGAAGTTCCCAGCCATGATGTGTTGCAAGTCTAGAGTGTATTCTGTATGGTTGAAGTGTAGAAAATATAAGGGAAATGGAGAATTTTGGAGAATTTTGATTGTGTGTCGAGAGGTTGAAGATGAAGATTTCTTAGGAGTAAAAATGGGATCTAGTGCATGGAATCTGGAAGGTTTTTTTTTTTTTTTTCTCTCATCTCCTCAAAATCTCTCCCCAAAAGATGAAGAAAAATAAAAAAATATATATGTAGTGGCATTTTGTTCATTTTGAGTTGGTGGGGCTAGTGTAGCCCAACAATCCAACGAGTAGATTCAAGTTATGTGAGGATTGGTGTCAAGTTTTGAGTGGATTAGGGCATTGCTGATAGCTTTTGAAGTGCAATAATGGATTGTCCAACATCTCTAACTAGGCATTGCTAATGCTGGTTCATTGGAGACTTCCCATTCTTTGTAACCCTCTCTCCATATGAAATATTATATTTGGTGTGCAATTGAGCACTATAGCCAAAACCACCTTTGTCGATGATTTTGTTGATTTTCCTAAGCAAAATATCATCTTTTCACTAGTTTCCCATACAATGAAACTTGTACAATTGTCCATTCATTAAAAACAACTGTAGATTGGTGATGGAGACTCAAATGGCATCTTTGGTTGATTTTTAATGGGGTTTCAGACCTTCTAGTTAGCATCAAACAATGTAGTTTTGGGATCAAGTTTTGTCTCCACATGTTTGCGCCTAGCCCTTCTTGGTGAAGACGCACAACATTACCATCTCTAAGCTTAGTTGGCACAAATACTTCGCTAGGTAGGCAACATTCATCTAGCCATGCCTACTAAGCTACTACTCTTATAGTTTATCCTAAATGATCCCCATGAGTTTGGATTCATGGGTTTGTGTTTATCTACATGAAAGAATTTGATTTGAGTGAGTATTTGTTCAAATATAGAAGTATGAAATGTATAAGCATGTGTGGTAAAGAAAAACACTCCCTTGTGTATCAAAGGGGATGGTGAGAATAATCATCGCTATGCCTCTATATCCACTAGCCATATGAGGCACTTGTATAATATTGTTGTATAAGTCTAGCGATGTGCCAAGATAGACGATGAATGATATAGATGTATGCTGTAGTATCGTTTTATCGAGCCAGGTGCTTCATGCGCTTTTGGTTGATGATGCTTACCAACACGTAAAATATAGAAGAAATATGTTGTAGATTGGGATTACAGATGACTGGTAATTTTGTCCGTTTGTGTTGAAAGAATAATGATATGCATGATCGTCAGCCATGTTAAATATCACTAAGTTAGCCAAGAATAGCTTTCCCATAGCCAAAGGGACAACAATGGCTAGCTTTGTCTATGATTAGAATGTGAACTATGTGGAATGGGAAAAGCATTCCCAATAATTTGCCAAGCTGTGAAAAGGATAAATCTCATCAATCCAAAACTCCAACATAGCAATGAAAATATGAAAAAAAATGGGTGAAGTGTTGCCCATAAAAGGGAGATTACAAGCCACATCTATGGCTTTCAGTATGGATAAGTTATGGTACCACAATAAAACGATGGCCTTTCTTGCTATACCTACAAGGTTAGAGGATGGTCTTCGTTGTTTTTGCCCATCGGGTACTACATCACCATGCATAGGCAACTACCAAGGAGTTGTTAGCCATAACTTGATGGATTTTTATCGTTGAAGGGTAGCCATCCCAACTAATCATAGGGTTGCAACTATTACCAACCTCACATTAATCATACCAAGTTGCATTGACTCTTTGTTCATTTCCAAAAGCTAGTGTAATAAATATGTGTAGAAATATGTAGCATTTTGCCCATTTTCAGAGGCTAAGTAAAATAGCAAGCATGGCCCTTTATCCATTGTTGAGAACTATATAGATGTAGTAGAATTAGCCCATTGCCCATTGATGGGAACCAGTGATAGAAATATGCAGAATAAATGTTTGGCCCTTCGTCCATCACTAGTAGCTATATAGATGTGATAAAATCAGCTCGTTGTCCTTTGATGGGAGCTATGTATATATAACAAAATAGGCTCTTTAACCATTGTTGGGAGCCAATTGTAGCAACAAACATTGTAGTAGAGATTATGACTGTCAATAAATGTCTAGCCATGTCGTGGGGGTAAATGTAGCCGTGTTTGGTAATATATAAGAGAATGGTATTGAAGTAGATAATGTCTACAATATTTCAGTGAAGTAGATGAATGCCACTTCTAGTGATGTTGACTTTGCTGTAGTCACCAACAGAAAACAAAACATAATAGATCTAATATGAAAATAAATCATATGGGCCCTTTTTAATCACAAGTCTAAAGTTGATCTTTTTGATGTGGCACTACACATATTATGAATTTCAAGACAATACAAATTCAACCTCAACATTAATTTTAGATGACAATTTAATGTAGTATATAAATGGCAATCAAATATTATTTAATCAAATGAAACAACTCAACAAAAACTATTTATAGCAAAAAGAAAAATTTTAGTTGTCATTCATATGTTTTTCTAAATTTTATATAAAATTAATGAATTAAATTCACTTACATATAACTTTTACACATATTACTTATACAAAATCTTAATAATTCATCTTTTTTATTGAATAATTGAGATTTATTGATTTTTTATCTCATTATTAAAGGTAATTATTTTTTTCATCTAAAAAGATATAATAGATCCCAAACATTCATAATATAGAGATGAATAGTTAATATTCTACATAAGTGATACATGTAAGAATTACATGTAAATGAATCCTATCTCAAAATTACTCCTATTCAAATTTAGTAAACTTAATTTCTAAGATATCAATTACTATGCTTATTTCTATTTTACCTGTATCTTAAAAAAATAATTACAACTAATATATTAAATACAAGAGTGTACTAAAGTTGTGATTAATTAAGAATAAAAATAAAATTTTATCAATTAATTTTTCCTTCCATATTTTATTGGATAAAAAATTAGTCCGAGTTATTTAATATGTTTAATTATGACAGTTAAAGTTCCTCGCATTGCCTGCATGTATTTGTAAGTAATTTAGTGTAACATGACAAATTTTACTGAGAGGTATAATGAAGGGCAATGATACTTTTGTAAGAAAAAAATGAAAAACCAATAAGAGTTTGCTTAAGTTGATATATTGTTACGCCCCAAAACTAGGAGTGAAGCAAACATCATATACTTGTGGGAGGATCCCACAAATGCACAAGGCTCGGAACTTGTTAAATTCATAACTAACAATCCACATAAACTTAGATCAAGATTTAGTTTACAAAAGAATGATCTATATCTCAAAATCTATGTCCAGAATACAAATGGCTAGCCTTCTAGCTTGTCACTCCCTTCGATTTCCCATGTCTCGGGTCTCACTACCTGAAATGGTGGACGAGGAAAAACTATGTGAGATAACTCAGTAAGTAAAAATATGGATAGCCCTCATTGAAATTTAAAGCATGCCAAGTAAACATTTAAATTTTAAATAGGAAGAAAATCTCAATTATAAATCATTAATGCAGAGTAAAACTCAGTAGTGGTCCCCTCAATTAGTCATGACTAGTGTACTCTCCCTACTGGCTAGATAATAGAAATACCAGTGTACTCTACCATTGGCTGGATGAACCGACTCTACAGAATTACATGTTGACATGTGCCAATGTTTAACTCCCACTGGTAGGATAATAGAATTCATGACCATATTGGAGGCAAAACTATGCAAGAGTCAACATGAAAATTCATAATTTGCAAATATGCAAGAGGTAACGGGAAAATTCATAACTTGCAAATATGTCAAAGTTAACAGGAAAATCATAACTTTACAAACCAAATTTTAGATTTCCAAAACAACAAGTAAACTCCATGTAGGCATGCTTAACTGAATAAAATAATATCAACTTCATTTCAAACCAATCATGCTTATGTGCTAATGAAAATCGGGTTAGGTCTCGCCACCATCTCAAAAATAGTTCAAAATATGCTTTTAGAACCTTTACCTTAAAATCTAAGGGCATTTACCATAATTTTACTTACCTCGCCTTGTAGGTATACAACAAGTAAGGAATTCAAAAACTCAAGGCGCTTGAGGTGATTTAGAACCTATACCACATCAAATGGATAAACAAGATTACAACATACCTCATTTAATAGATTTGGTTCTTAATCCCAATATCAAGTTTCCTAACCAAAGAAACAACTACTTGCTAAGCATCCCAACCACCTCTACCCTTTTAAAACAGCTCCAAAAAGCCACTACATATGGCAGATTTACCAAGCAGATTTGCTGAATAAAACAAACTAGAAAAAGTGTGAGATATCGAGCTCAAGATTGTCCTAGACACAACAGAAATTTTGGGCAACAAGGTGGGGGGTTTTTTCCATTTAAAATAGTCCCAAAATATTTAGAATAAGCCTTGAACAACAAGGATTTCTGTGCAAAATGACAGCAACAAAAATAGGATAGAACACAAGCTAGAATTGGGAAGAAATGGACAGCATTTAAGTAGAAAAGCAACAGTAAAAGGGACAGCCAAAATAAAGCAATAACAAAGGGTTTTAGAGTAGGAAAATAATAACTAAAAATCTAGTAAAATCATGATGTAATATGGTAGCAGGTACAGTGAGAATAAAGCAAAAAACAGAGCAAATTTCTCGGTACTTTTGAGAGCAATTCTAGTCAGATTTTGAATTGGAATTTCCAACAAAATTTACACCAAAAAATTGACCAATCTAGGTTAAGTGGTCAATAGATAAATTGTAGCCTTATGTCTTAGCATTCCGTAGGATCAAGAATCACCTTAATCCAACATCTACAAAGAAAGTTATGGCCAAAATACTAACATAAGGTTGGGCTGCTAATTAAGTCTGTCAGTGGGATCAAACTTTCAGTAGAGTTTTCACCATAAAAACAGCTTAACTGGGTTAAATGTCCAACCAAAAAGTTGTAGGGCTATCTCTTAGCTTTCTATAGAATTAAAAATGGACTTAATCCGATAACTACAAAAGGACTCATGAGTAAAACACTATTGCAAGGTCATCCTGTTAGAATTTCTAGCAAAAGGAATTAGATTTGGTGGCGCCAAGGCAAAACCAAGGAGAAAAATTACAAAAAAATCCCAAAAATAAAACCCTAAAGGATTTAAGTTAACCCAATTCAAATTAAGGGTGAAAACATGAGCAAAAATGGCTGATTTCTTATCAGAAAGTGTTGAAAAATGGCAGCCTCCCTTACATTGCACAAGAACCTGACATGGACTAGAAAATTTGGGGAAGCAGCAATTTGAATCTTGATTTTGAGAATCATAAACTCATAAATCTCTAAATCTTGCTCGGAGAAGGAAGGAAAAGCTAAGTTTCACCTTGTTTTTAATGGGAAGAAGCTGCTGGGTGTAGGCTGGGCTTCGGGAGGAAAAATTCTGGTGAGGGTTGGGGCAAAACACACATAAATGGGCAATGAGAAAAAAGAGGAGAATTAGCTTAGTCCCTATTTATAACCAGATTTCACTTTTAACCCTTTTAGGTTTGTAAATTTCAGTCATTAGACCCAACAATAATAATTCCTCCCATATAAATCCCTAACTTAAATTTAAATTCACTTGTACTAATGTATTCATGCATACATTTATACATCTAAAATTTCAGAAATTTTTGGGATATTACATATATACTTATTTTAAAATTTTAATTTTAAATAATGTTAGGAGGTTAACCATCTACATAATCAAGTAATTAATTCTTAATCTAAAATTAAAAAAAAAAAAAAAAGGATAACACGAGACTCTACTATTTAATTTCATTAAGAACTAATCTAATTGTCAATTTTCACACTTTATACTTTGGTTTGTTTTGTAAATGAAATCAAAGATATGCCATAAAATTGCCAACGAAACTGAGTAATTCAATAATAATTTTTTTTCACTGAAAGTAAGAAATTTTAAATTCAAATTGTATGGCATGCAGATGAGGCAAGTTAAAGAAAGAAAAAGGATTGCCTCCATTATGCAACCCAAATATATATATATATATATATATATATAACATATGCCATAGAATTTGTTGTGCAACAGGGGTAGATTATTGCAATGTTTGGTAAAACTATAAAATTTTAAGAGAATCCTTTTCAAGTGTGAACTACACTAAATTGTAAAATAAAAATCACTGAATAAAGAAAACCCTCTCTATCTAATGATTTAAATTATGTAGTCTTATAAAATCTAATTTGTATAACACTTTTTTAAAATTTTAAATGCTAGCAATCACAAAGGAGTGCTAAAAGTTGAAATTAATATCCATTGTTTTCAACCGCAAGAGATGTTTCAAGTTGCTAAAAATTTGAAACTCTAAGTTATAGATCTCAAATTCAAACCTCAAGACAAGTAAGGATAAATTAAAAAAAAAAAAAAAGAAAAAGAAAAAGAGACTTCTGTATTATATATAACTTATCATTTAATGTACCAAAATAATATATTGTTCTCATAATATAGTCTGCTACAAAGTAAAATAGTCTATCATCCATTATTTTCTTATTAGAAATATAAAAATCAAGACCTCAAGACGTCTATCATAACCATCCGTTAGTGGACTCTACTTTCGGGATCCACTCAACAGATGATTATAATAGATGTCTTGAGTGCCAAGACGTCTTGATTTTTTAAGCTCTCCTTTCTTATTTGGTTACTACAAAAATATAATTGGTCATCGAAAATTTCCAAAAGAATTATGAGTATATTCATGTCATTTCACCAAGGCCGAACTCCCTATTTGTACCTTATATATTTTTCCTTCTACAGTCAACACCCTAAATTAATTTTTGTATCAGTCAACACCATTCATAAATTTAAAACCCGTGAAAAACCTCAAATTATCAACAAAGTATGGTGCAAATAGGGTGTTTGACCACAAAGTTAAGGTACAAATAGAGGGTTTGATTGTAAATTTTTGGGTTGTTCATGGGTTTTAAATAGTAAAGAGTGTTGATTAGGATAGAAATTAATTTAAAGCATTGATCACAAAAGGAAAAAATATATAGGGTGCAAACAGGGGAATCGAAGGGCAATCTTTGCCCCCAGTGAAGCTCGTTGTCCGGAAGGTTTTCTTAACAGATCTTCTTCTTTTCTTTTTTCTTTTTTCTTTTTTTTTTTTTTTCCATCAGGAAGAAAAAATCCAACCAAAGTTCTGATTCTTCTTTCCTAGGCAACAAAGTTTCCCATTAAACCTTGCAACAAAAACACACTTACAAGGTGCTTGGTAGGGAAACTCTCTCTAAAGTTTTCTTAAGTTTTTTTTTTTTCCCTTTTTTTATGAAATTAATTACATATGTTTATATACAAAGATAAAAATAACATTTTTAATATTATTTTTTAACATAATTCTCAACCTCTCAAGTTTTCTTTTTACTTATTTTAAAAAGAAATAATTTTCTTGTAACCATCCCTACAATAAATCTACTTAATGACTTTCCTTCTTTTTATATCAATTTTTTACCAAACGCAACAAAGTTAATAATTCAATAAAATTCTATCAAAATTTTATTACAAAAGTTGTAACTTGATGTATAATATTTTTTAACTTTCCATGCAATACTTTTTTAACTACTTTCTCCAAAGGAAAGTTTCTTGATAAAGTGATACTGTAATCAAACAGGCCCTTGACACTTCTTGAGATAAACTTGCCGGGTACTTCATGGGATTCTTGAACATACCAAACACTCCCTAATATTTAGCTTAACGGGAACTTCTGATTTGTGCCATATACAACATTTGGCTATAAGGATCCACTTTTCATACATTCAGGACCATCAACATTTACCAATCATCTTCCGGTGATCTTCACTTTAACCAGCAATTGCCGTTCCCAAAAATTTCTTTGCTTGATCTTAAATTTAACTTTGGAGAAAAGAAAGCAAAGAAGATACATTTCTTCTGAATCTGAGATTTACTTAAGAGACCCCTTTCTGATCACATGGTCACTATTGTCATTGTTCATCCCCGTCACTTCGCTGCAAAAAAGTTAGAAGGAGAAACAGGAAAATGCATAAGCTGATGGTAATTTGTTCCAGATCCATACTGTAATACAGCCATCTTTATTGCACTAAGGACCAAGCATATACTACGAGGACATGGCATGATCTTGCAAACTCAATAGCTAGTAAGTTAACTAATTGGCAAACAAGGACCCCACACCCCTTCCCACTCACCCCC